CTGGACAGCCTGGACAACTGGGCGGTGAAAAACCTCATGCAATTCAACAAGGCCAAGTGCAAGGTCCTGCACCTGGGGAGGAATAACCCCAGACACCAGTACAGGCTGGGGACCGACCTTGTGGAGAGCAGCTCTGCGGGGAAAGACCTGGGTGTCATGGTGGATGACAAGTTGATCATGAGGCAGCAGTGTGCCCTCGTGGCCAAGAAGGCCAATGGGATCCTGGGCTGCATTAAGAAGAGCATCTCTAGCAGGTCGAGGGAGGTGATCCTGCCCCTCTACTCAGCCCTGGTGAGGCCGCATCTGGAGTACTGTGTCCAGTTCTGGGCTCCACAGTACAAGAGGGATGTGGAGCTGCTGGAGAGAGTCCAGCGCAGGGCTACGAGGATGATCAGGGGCCTGGAACATCTGCCCTATGAGGAGAGGCTGAGGGAGCTGGGCCTGTTCAGCCTGGAGAAGAGAAGACTGAGAGGGGATCTAATCAGTGTCTATAAGTACCTCAAGGGAGGGAGTGCAGAGGACGGTGATGGTCTTGTGGTTTATTCATCTGCTTCAGCCAAGTGACATCTGGCGCAGAGGGGCCCACACTTCTCTCCAGTTGCACAGCTCAAATGTCAGGCAGGAGTTTGACATGCTCATGAGGAATTAGCTCTCCTGAACACCCAGAGCCTTTGCAACAGTGCCCAGCAGAAAAGTACTTCCACAGAGACAGGATTCCCACTTTTGAACACAACACTAGAACCAAGTGATCTGAACACTGCTCACCTCTGCCCCAGGAAACTCTTAACTGACCTGGGTCTCACTTGCCTTATCTGAAGAATTCAAGTACCGATATCTGCCACAGAAAGGCTGCAAGGCTTATCTTCACCTATGTTTACACAGTGCTTTGGGACATAAGACACCATGGTGGAAAAAGTATATATTTGAACTGGTCTATAAACACATGAGGTCTTAGAGTATATTTTCCATGAATAAATTCCTCATTTTAAAGTAAATGGTAGGGATTATTGCTCTGCTTGGTAGAATACTATTATATTTATGTCCAGCTGCCTCCTTTGAAATTCTTCACTATAGTCTGTAGTTGTGTAATGTATTTATAGCAGCATACACTGAAAGCAAGAGTGGCATGAGGGTAGCCCTTTCATAGGCGTTATTTCCACAAAGATGGTATTAGGTAGCCAATACATATATATACACTGACCTTCCAAATTATGATCACAGTCAAGTAGAAAACGTAACCTGCCCATCTCACATTATTTCATTTAACCTGATCCCTAGAATTGAACAAAATATTTGCTAAAATTGGCCAGAAATTTCCGTGGCATGACACACAGCTGAGCAGCTCTCTGGCGCTGACGCCTGTACAGCTCCAGGAAAGAGGCACTGCCTTCTTCCCTGACCCGCAGATGCAATCTGAAGTGTTCACTGATTTCAAACATGACTGCAATTTATGTCTTCCCAAATTCAGATAGTTTATAGCCTTCAAATAATACATACTGCAAGTTCTTTAGTGAGGCCCATCCCTTCTCCCATTTACCTACCAGGAGTATATACTCTATTTTATTCCTTCTAATTACATTTTACTCAGAGCTTACCATGATGTGGTAGCATGATCAGGCAAGCACATCCACAACTTGCTAGACTTGAACATGTGTTCTGTGATCAGAGGGTCACCAAGGACCAAAGTCCTATGGAGACCATTCCTGCCACAGAGCAAGGGGAGGTTTCTCCTCTATGTCCATCTGTGCTAAGCCTATAAAGAGGAGTCAAGGTCTCTGTCACCGTGCAGTCACAGCCATATATTACTGTGATGAGCACAGCATGTTGTCGGAGACAGGCACAGTGTAAGAGAGGAAGGGGAGGAAGCCCATGGAAAGACTCAGAAGCAGGAGAAGCCCTCAGAAGCACGTGGTTGCCCATCCCTGCCTGGGAAGGCCTGCACACGCTGGCAGGAACGAGCCGCAGGCTGCGAGCGGCTGCGCGCAAACCCAGCCGAAAGTCGCAACTCCGAGGATGTCGAACAGCCATTTTGTTGCTTTCAAGCAAAACCCCAAATGGCAGCCCCAAAGAGACACCCTCTCAGGAGGCACCTCACTGCACATCTCATCAGTCCTGGCGTCTAAAAGAGAAGCGTCATCCTGACAACACCTAATCCACTGCCGCACCCACGGCCATTAGGGCCAAGCACAGCACTAGTTCAGGGCCAGTGCTCGGCAGGACGATGTGCGCTTGGCTCCATGCCAGCATGCTCCTGAGGTGGCACTATTTCTGTCATGCCACCACGCCACACCATTGATTTATTCTGTCTACGATGCCCTCAGCAAGAGGTGAACTGACTGTAGAGCTTTGAACTTAAGTCACAATCAGCATATTGCCATTTAAAGCCACGGCTTGTATTATCCTGAATTACC